ACGGGGGCGAAAGAAAATTTACGAGCCTGGAAACACCCAAGGGGGACGGGAGGACTTAAATTTCGCCCCGCCCGGGGGCGTGCTCGCAAACTTTTGCCCTTTTGGAAACGGAAATTTCCAAGAAAGTTTCTAGAATCCGTGAAGGGGAAGTACAGGAAAAGGGAATCATCTAAGGGACGGAAAAGCCAACAACAAACAACGGGGGCCCATGACAATTACGGGCCGGGCAGCACTTTAGGAGTCGGAAAGGGGGGCCCAGGCCCGTTTGGGGGCCCTGGAAACAGCAGGGGAGGCCCGAAAACTGCCACACCCAAAGAAAAAAAAGGAACCCACCAGCAGGGGTGGAGCCCCTAAAAGTGGCAAAAGGCAAGGTGGCGAGGAGCCCAGCAGAAATTTGGGAGGCCGTCCCAGGGCCCCGGGAAGACTCTGGCCCTGGCGGGCAGCATGGGGAGGCGGAAAGGGGGGCCCAGGGCAGATTGGGGCCCTTCCGCATCAAATGGGACCCCCTTTAAAGCCAGCACCCTATGAAAAAAAAGGAAAAACACCACCCGGGGTTGAGGAGCCCTTTGAAAGGGGGCACATTGGCAGAGTGGGGGCAAAGGAGACAGCACATTGGGGGCCGTACGGGGCCCCAAAGAGAACTCTGGACTTGGCAGCAGCATAAAGGGGGCGTATCGGGGCCCCAGGGGCAAAATTAGGGGGCCTGGAGCAGCTAGGGGGGCCCGTAATCTCCCAGAAACCCAAATGACAAAAAAGGGAACACACCAGCAGGTGAGAGACCTAAAGTGGCAAAATGTTGGGCTTTATTTGCGGTTTAGCCCCCCCCATTTTTTTGTCAAACTGGTGGTTTGAAACCCCGACTAATCCACGCCTGATTCTTTTTCCCAAAAAAGGGAATTTCTCTCCAAAACTTTGGGTGGACAGTCTGTCCCCCCGGAGTTCAATACCCTCCCGCACTAAACACGCCCTCCGCGTCCACCCCCTACGGGGCCGGGGCAAAGTCTGAGGATGGACGTTGGCGCAGACAGGCAGAGACCAGCTGACTACATAGGTGGTTTTTATAGTACGTTATTTTGGCCTCCCTCTCAGCAGGTGTGAAAAAGGCCACCATTTTTGAACGGTAGCGAGGGTCCCAACAAGGTGGACAGCCAAAAGTCATCCCTCTGTCTGATGGTTATTATTCGGGCTGTCGCTACGCAAGCAACCGAGCATGCTATGGGCCATTTGTGCCAAGGAATGCGAGGGACTCCCTGCCTCCATCTCCACAGCATACTGCCACGGTGCGTCTGGGTCCTCTGTCTCCTCCTCCTCCTCCTCTACCAGATGCTCCTGCTCCTCCACTCCTGTCCGCTGAGTGGAAAAACCACCCATTTCACTCAATAATTCCTGAGCACCAATGTCCTCCTCTACCTCCTCCTCTTCTTCCTGTCCTGCCCCCACAGGGGTCATGTGGCGTTGAGATCTGTGCGCCACGTCTACCGCACCCTGACCAGCCATTGTTAACAGCATTTGTTCCAGGACGTGCAACAGAGGAATGACGTCGTTCATCCCATAGTCCTGCCGACTCACGAATAGCGTGGCCTCCTCAAAGGGCCTGAGCAAGCGCAGGTGTCACGCATGAGCTGCCAATGGCTGACATCTAAGTTACACAGGGGAGTACCTTTATCGCTTTTAACATCAGGAAATCTGAGTGATGGCCTTTCGCTGTTCGTAAAGGCGGTCTAACATATGTAGGGTTGAATTCCACCTTGTTTGCAACGTCACAGCATGAGGAGTCGGTACGGGGGCCCATGGCAGATTACGTGCCTGGCAGCAGCAATGGGAGGCCCGTAATCTGCCAGCACCCTATGTCAAAAAATTCAACACACCAGCAGTGTGTGAGGAGACCTGAAAGTGGCACATGGCAGAGTGTGGCTATGGAGACAGCAGCAATGGGAGGCCGTACAGGGACCCATGACACACTCTGGACTTGGCAGCAGCATGAGGAGGCGGTATAGGGGCCCATGGCAGATTAGGGGCCTGGCAGCAGCTATGGGAGGCCCGTAATCTGCCAGCACCCTATGTCAAAAAATTGAACACACCAGCAGTGTGAGGAGACCTGAAAGTGGCACATGGCATGATGGAGACAGACTGTGCCGACCTGAGCAGCAGCATGAGGAGGCGTATAGGGGCCCATGGCAGATTAGGGGCCTGGCAGCAGCTATGGGAGGCCCGTAATCTGCCAGCACCCTATGTCAAAAAATTGGAACACACCAGCAGTGTGAGGAGACCTGAAAGTGGCACATGGCAGAGTGTGGCGATGGAGACAGCAGCAATGGGAGGCCGTACAGGGACCCATGAGAGACTCTGGACCTGGCAGCAGCATGAGGAGGAGGCGGTATATAGGGGCCCATGGCAGATTAGGGGCCTGGCAGCAGCTATGGGAGGCCCGTAATCTGCCAGCACCCTATGTCAAAAAATTGAACACACCAGCAGTGTGAGGAGACCTGAAAGTGGCACATGGCAGAGTGTGGCGATGGAGACAGCAGCAATGGGAGGGCCGTACAGGGACCCATGAGAGACTCTGGACTTGGCAGCAGCATGAGGAGGCGGTATATAGGGGCCCATGGCAGATTAGGGGCCTGGCAGCAGCTATGGGAGGCCCGTAATCTGCCAGCACCCTATGTCAAAAAATTCTACACACCAGCAGTGTGAGGAGACCTGAAAGTGGCACATGGCAGAGTGTGGCGATGGAGACAGCAGCAATGGGAGGCCGTACAGGGACCCATGAGAGACTCTGGACCTGGCAGCAGCATGAGGAGGCGGTATATAGGGGCCCATGGCAGATTAGGGGCCTGGCAGCAGCTATGGGAGGCCCGTAATCTGCCAGCACCCTATGTCAAAAAATTCTAACACACCAGCAGTGTGAGGAGACCTGAAAGTGGCACATGGCAGAGTGTGGCGATGGAGACAGCAGCAATGGGAGGCCGTACAGGGACCCATGAGAGACTCTGGACCTGGCAGCAGCATGAGGAGGCGGTATATAGGGGCCCATGGCAGATTAGGGGCCTGGCAGCAGCTATGGGAGGCCCGTAATCTGCCAGCACCCTATGTCAAAAAATTCAACACACCAGCAGTGTGAGGAGACCTGAAAGTGGCACATGGCAGAGTGTGGCGATGGAGACAGCAGCAATGGGAGCCGTACAGGGACCCATGAGAGACTCTGGACCTGGCAGCAGCATGAGGAGGCGGTATATAGGGGCCCATGGCAGATTAGGGGCCTGGCAGCAGCTATGGGAGGCCCGTAATCTGCCAGCACCCTATGTCAAAAAATTGAACACACCAGCAGTGTGAGGAGACCTGAAAGTGGCACATGGCAGAGTGTGGCGATGGAGACAGCAGCAATGGGAGGCCGTACAGGGACCCATGAGAGACTCTGGACCTGGCAGCAGCATGAGGAGGCGGTATATAGGGGCCCATGGCAGATTAGGGGCCTGGCAGCAGCTATAGGAGGCCCGTAATCTGCCAGCACCCTATGTCAAAAATTCAACACACCAGCAGTGTGAGGAGACCTGAAAGTGGCACATGGCAGAGTGTGGCGATGGAGACAGCAGCAATGGGAGGCCGTACAGGGACCCATGAGAGACTCTGGACCTGGCAGCAGCATGAGGAGGCGGTATATAGGGGCCCATGGCAGATTAGGGGCCTGGCAGCAGCTATGGGAGGCCCGTAATCTGCCAGCACCCTATGTCAAAAAAATTCTACACACCAGCAGTGTGTGAGGAGACCTGAAAGTGGCACATGGCAGAGTGTGGCGATGGAGACAGCAGCAATGGGAGGCCGTACAGGGACCCATGAGAGACTCTGGACCTGGCAGCAGCATGAGGAGGCGGTATATAGGGGCCCATGGCAGATTAGGGGCCTGGCAGCAGCTATGGGAGGCCCGTAATCTGCCAGCACCCTATGTCAAAAAATTCAACACACCAGCAGTGTGAGGAGACCTGAAAGTGGCACATGGCAGAGTGTGGCGATGGAGACAGCAGCAATGGGAGGCCGTACAGGGACCCATGAGAGACTCTGGACCTGGCAGCAGCATGAGGAGGCGGTATATAGGGGCCCATGGCAGATTAGGGGCCTGGCAGCAGCTATAGGAGGCCCGTAATCTGCCAGCACCCTATGTCAAAAAAAATCAACACACCAGCAGTGTGTGAGGAGACCTGAAAGTGGCACATGGCAGAGTGTGGCGATGGAGACAGCAGCAATGGGAGGCCGTACAGGGACCCATGAGAGACTCTGGACCTGGCAGCAGCATGAGGAGGCGGTATATAGGGGCCCATGGCAGATTAGGGGCCTGGCAGCAGCTATGGGAGGCCCGTAATCTGCCAGCACCCTATGTCAAAAAATTGAACACACCAGCAGTGTGAGGAGACCTGAAAGTGGCACATGGCAGAGTGTGGCGATGGAGACAGCAGCAATGGGAGGCCGTACAGGGACCCATGAGAGACTCTGGACCTGGCAGCAGCATGAGGAGGCGGTATATAGGGGCCTATGGCAGATTAGGGGCCTGGCAGCAGCTATGGGAGGCCCGTAATCTGCCAGCACCCTATGTCAAAAAAATTCAACACACCAGCAGTGTGAGGAGACCTGAAAGTGGCACATGGCAGAGTGTGGCGATGGAGACAGCAGCAATGGGAGGCCGTACAGGGACCCATGACAGACTCTGGACCTGGCAGCAGCATGAGGAGGCGGTATAGGGGCCCATGGCAGATTAGGGGCCTGGCAGCAGCTATGGGAGGCCCGTAATCTGCCAGCACCCTATGTCAAAAAATTGAACACACCAGCAGTGTGAGGAGACCTGAAAGTGGCACATGGCATGGAGACAGCAGCAATGGGAGGCCGTACAGGGACCCATGAGAGACTCTGGACCTGGCAGCAGCATGAGGAGGCGGTATATAGGGGCCCATGGCAGATTAGGGGCCTGGCAGCAGCTATGGGAGGCCCGTAATCTGCCAGCACCCTATGTCAAAAAATTGAACACACCAGCAGTGTGAGGAGACCTGAAAGTGGGCACATGGCATGAGAGCAGCTGTGGACCTGCAGGGCAGCATGAGGAGGCGCAGCAGTATGAGGAGGCGGTATAGGGGCCCATGGCAGATTAGGGGCCTGGCAGCAGCTATGGGAGGCCCGTAATCTGCCAGCACCCTATGACAAAAAATGTAACACACCAGCAGTGTGAGGAGACCTGAAAGTGGCACATGTTTGGGGCATGATTCATGGCGGATTTAGTCAGTTGTGTCAGGAACTGGTGGTTTGAAATCCAGACTAATCCACGCCTGATTCATTTTCACAAACGTGAGTCTCTCCACACTTTGGGTGGACAGTCGTGTCCTCCGCGGAGTTACAATACCTCCTGCCGCACTAAACACGCGCTCCGATGCCACGCTACTGGCCGGGCATGACAGCCTTTCAAGGGCAAATTCAGCTAGTTGGGGCCAAAGGTCAAGTTTCGTTGCCCAGTAGTCAAGGGGATTGTCTACCTCGGTTGGCAGGGTGCTGTCCAAGTAGGCCTAAGCCTGTTGTTTGAGGTCCTGCTCCAGGTCCACCTGATGCTGCTGCTGCTGCGGCTGGTTGGTTAGTAGTTTCCTCACTGCGCTGGTGAAGAAAGCTACTCATCATCGACTGCAGACTGAGGCAGCCGCTGCTGGTGGACTGCCACTGCTCCTACCACCCCACCCCTCCCCTGCTGCCATGGCAGCGGAACGCGAGCGCACAGGGCCCACAGTGTCTGAGGATGGACGTTGGCGCAGAAAGGCAGAGACCACTGACTACATAGGTGGTTTTTATAGTACGTTATTTTGGCCTCCCTCTCAGCAGGTGTGAAAAAGGCCACCATTTTTGAACGGTAGCGAGCGAGGGTCCAACAAGGTGGACAGCCAAAAGTCATCCCTCTGTCTGATGGTTATTATTCGGCTGTCGCTACGCAAGCAACCGAGCATGCTATGGGCCATTTGTGCCAAGGAATGCGAGGGACTCCCTGCCTCCATCTCCACAGCATACTGCCACGGTGCGTCTGGGTCCTCTGTCTCCTCCTCCTCCTCCTCTACCAGATGCTCCTGCTCCTCCACTCCTGTCCGCTGAGTGGAAAAACCACCCATTTCACTCAATAATTCCTGAGCACAAATGTCCTCCTCTACCTCCTCCTCTTCTTCCTGTCCTGCCCCCACAGGGGTCATGTGGCGTTGAGATCTGTGCGCCACGTCTACCGCACCCTGACCAGCCATTGTTAACAGCATTTGTTCCAGGACGTGCAACAGAGGAATGACGTCGTTCATCCCATAGTCCTGCCGACTCACGAATAGCGTGGCCTCCTCAAAGGGCCTGAGCAAGCGGCAGGTGTCACGCATGAGCTGCCAATGGCTGACATCGAAGTTACACAGGGGAGTACCTTTATCCGCTTGTAACATCAGGAAATCGGTGATGGCCTTTCGCTGTTCGTAAAGGCGGTCTACCATGTGTAGGGTTGAATTCCACCTTGTTGCAACGTCGCAGATCAGCGATGCTGTGGAATTCCGTTCTGCCGCTGCAGCTCAAGGAGGGTGTGCTTTGCGGTGTAGGAATGGCTGAAATGCATGCAAAGTTTACGTGACATTTTAAGGATGTCTTGCAGTGGGATGGTGGATTTTAGGAACCGCTTGACAACCAGATTGAACACGTGAGCCATGCATGGCGCATGGCACAACCTTACTTGACGCAGAGCAGACACCATGTTCTTTCCGTTGTCGGTCAACATGGTTCCCATTTTCAGTTTGCGCGGAGACAGCCATCTGTCGATTTCTCTGTTCATTACACTGAGAAGTTCCTCCCCTGTGTGACTACGTTCGCCTGGACCTGGCAGCAGCTCAAAAAATTCTACAACACACCAGCATTGTGTGAGGAGACCTGAAAGTGGCACATGCAGAGTGTGGCGATGGAGACAGCAGCAATGGGAGGCCGTACAGGGACCCATGACGACTCTGGACCTGGCAGCATCGATGAGAATGCGTTAATATAGTGGGGCCATGGCTAGATTAGGGGCCCTTTCCAGCATCTATGGGAGGACCCTGAGCGAGAGCGAGTGCCACAAACTCAACGCGAGCGTCCGAGAGCAATAAATACAAGCACAACCACGTCAGTGGTGGTGAGGAGACCTGAAATTGGCA